TACCACTCATCAAGCCGTGCTGTGGTGGCGTCCCACATACAAAATAGAGTAAGATTAGCACAGATGTTAGCTCAGCAACAATCTTCCTCAAGAAGGAAAAAAAAAAAGAGGAAGGTTGGCAACAGATGTTAGCTCAGGGTGAATCTTCCTCAGCAAAAAAAAAGAAAAAAGCAGCTAGGCTTCTGCTGCTTCTTCTAGCTGAATTCTCACAGAGTACTCTTCTTCATCATCGTAGGTAAAACAATACACACACACATATGCACACACACACACAGAAACTTTCTTTCAAAGCAAGTCTATATAAGATTCTCCTGTCACCGATTTTGCCTGGAATGTGGTCAGTCTGCATGTATAATTCTTTCTTCATCTCCAGAAAATATCTTCCCATTACATCTTTGACTTGGGGCTCAGTTCCACTGTTAGAGACCAACTATCTGTGGGCTGGTTTCTATTCCCCGTCCTTACTTCTTATCTCCTCTTTGATAACTTTTATCTTTAATTTTTTTCCTCTGCATTCTAAGAGAACTCTTTAAGTTTGCACTCCGCTGGGTCCATTTTCCACAACATCAATTCTGTTTTTCACCAACTTCAGCATGGATTTTAAGTCTGCCATTGTTTGCTTTTGTTTTATTTGGGTTTTGTTTGGTTTCTAGTCTCTTTACAGTTGTTCCTTAGTTTATCCATCTCTTACTTTTTATTTCATCTTTGCTTTACCCTAGGGGTAATGTCATCTTGGACTCATAATCTAGATGATAGTCCTACATTGTACTGGGGTCACCCTGTCCTTAACAAAAAAAAGTCTAGAATCCCCATTCTGTGTGCTAGGAAACCCAACATGCCACCTAATATCTCCAAGAATTCTTGGAGGAATTGTATTTCTCCTACTTATTGTGGCTGTGATTTCCTGTTTCCACAGAACTCTGGATTCTCAGTTGGCATCTTATCTCTTGCAACTGCTGTCCCTTTTCTAGGAAGTGTCACCCGCATGCCTCACCACTCCATTCCTGGCCATGCAAAGTGCAATCCAGCCTCAGGGCTGACGTAGCAGACTGTCACTGAAGGTTTGAGGTACAGAGCACAGCGAAGAACTTCAAATCAAATATTGGACATCCCTGTTCTTAGCAATTCCTCCTTGGTCATTTCTGCCTCTGAGAACTCCTCACTGGTCATCTCTTCCAGAAGACCCCAGCCTGCTGCCTTATGTTGGTGTTGTCTGCTCTCCTCTCTCATCCTTTCACATCTTCCCCCCATCTCTTGCTCACCACATCCCCTTTCCCTTGCCAATTTCTGTTACTTTTCTTATCTTACTTTGTTTCACTCTGTTCATTGGGCCTCACCTTTCAAACCAATGTAAGTATCAAGGTAGTTTCCTCAACAAAGGTTATTCTTTCCACTAAACCTGGCACTGGGTTTTGTATATTCATACTCTTCGAAGGAAGCCAAACGTTTTCTCTGCATTTTCTTCCACTTGGTTGAACCTCAGGTAATCACTGGGAGTCAACTGTTTTTTACTTACAAAAATGGCTACTTCAGAGGTTTCAACATAAATATCTTACAGATGAATTTTCAGAGCCAAACTCTTACCCTGGGGCTCCCAGTGGCCATTTTCTTTCTCTGGTTCTAAGGCATATTTTTTCCATAGTCCCCATTAAGCTGCTTTTTTCCTTATTCATCCTTGAGCAAGGTGGGATTTATTGCAACCTGGGAACAATATTACTAAGGTGCATCCAACTCTTAGCACACCAGGATGGTGGTAAAATGCACTTTCAAATCTACAGGTGGAAATACAGTGATGTGCAGAGCCCCGTCCATCTCCCAGTCTCCAGTGTTCTTTCATTTAGGGATACTGTGGGAGCCCTGGGCCCAAATGCCTATTCTCTGTCACTCTGAGCTGATGTAGCCTATGGAAAACTGTAATTCCTACTATGCCCACTTCTAGGGGTGATTGTCTCTGCCCTGTCACACACCTAAGCCACCGTCCTCAGAATGCACTGGGCCATGACCAGGTACCCCACTGCCTCCCCACTTGTTCTCTGGATTTGCCATATTTGCCCGACTAGCTGGGCAGAAACATTGGACTAAGAGGAAGGTGGAGTGACACCCGCTCAGTTCTTGGGTAGTACAGACCCTGAGTCAGAGAAGAGCTGGTGAGAGGGTTCTGAGGCATCTTTCTAGCTCTTCTCAGGTAGTTTCATTTATGAAGCACATTCAAGAGACCATGAGTTGAGGTCCAGGTAGATTTTCTCAATTTCCCTCTGTTGGCTTTAAAAGTCTCAGCCATTCTCTTTGCTATTTTAGCATCAGGCTTTATATCAGCCTTAGTGTTTGATGCTGTTAAAAGTTTTCATCCATATCTGTACCTTATTGACGTTTAACAGGAAGTTGAGAATAGCTACATTCAAATGCCACTTTAAGGAAAAACTCTGGACTGTTCATCAACAAACTTGTTTGTTTGTGAAACATTTACAAGAATTTACTATGTGCCAAAGATTATTCCAAATACTTTACAAATAATACCTCATTTAATCCTCACAATCACCCCATGATGTCTGCTTCCAATCCTTTTCCTATGCACACAGACAAAATTGGGGTCAAACCACATAAATAATTGTGCATTCTGTTTTTATCAGATTCATGTTGTGAACATGTTCCCCATAAAAATGTTTTTCAAATACTGATTTTAATGGCTAATTATATTATATCAAATAAACGTAGCACAACTTATTTTGAAGAATATTATTTTATAAAAACCTTTGCATTTCTTCTTTTTCCATAGATTTGGTTTTTACAAAAGAAATTGTTCAGTCAAAAGGATAAACTGGAAACAACGTGTTCTCACTTGAGAAGTAGACGAAAATGTCAGTTTCATGACATCTTCCCCAGCCCCTGATATTGTTCCTCAGCTCCCTATAAATAGAATGCACGAAGGGAACTTTCTGTTTGCGGGAATGGGGGGGATTGCGTGTGTGTGTCTGTGTCTGTGTGGGTGACAGTAAAGAAAGAACTATGAGGAGGGGACAAAAAGACATACGTGTCCTTAATAAGAAGTCCAGGGATGACACAAGTTGCTATAGCAACTGATATATGCTGTCAGGGGTTAAGTAAGAGAAAAACTGTAGCTGATAAATAATACTTTAAGAACTTGTGCTTAAATTATTTAGGTGAGACATTATATAACCTTGTGCAGTTAAACATCAGAAACTGTGAAAAGACAGTTAACAGCAAAACTTGGTACCAGTATCTCTCCTTTACAAGAAAGCAGGGAAAAATATACAATCCTATATTAAAAGAAGTGGCAAAATTCTTTTTACCACTCATCATCTATCTGTTTGTTTAACAAACACTTTTTTGGTGCCTACTATTTACCAGAATTCTGGAGATAAAGAAATGAATGAGATAAAATCCTTGCTCCCCAGAGTTCACTGTAAATAGGGAAAACAAATGTACAAAATAAATAATTACACTAGAGGATGATAAGCACCATTCCAGAAATCTCGACAAATCCATAAAGTGGGAAGCGACTAGCTCCACCTAGGGAGTCAGAGTAGGCTTGACCCCAGAGTTGGTATTTGAGCTGGGTCTTGAAGTATGAATAGGAGTTTTCCGGACAGAGAAGGAGAGAAAACATTTTCCAGGGAGAACAAAGAGCTTGGACTCTGTCCCATAGGTCAGAAGATACCAGTGGCTATGCCTTGCCCAGGTAACAGGGGTGTACGAAAAATACCAATTCACTCTACCCACAGGATGGCCAGGTGGGACCTGGGAAGCTAGCATCCCTGAGTGAGTCCCCTCTAGCCCTGAACAGCCTTATCCCCCTTATTCTCAAGGGTGTGAGAATCACTTGGGAATCTTTTACAGAGAAGACATGTCCAGCCAGGGCTGGAGTGAACATATGCATTAGTGCTCCTCCAAACCTGTATTCTGTAAATCTGATCAGCATTTATTTAGTCTAAGTGGGAAGAAGCTGATTTCCTATTAGACAAGCTGTTTCCCACTTTATGGTTATAACTCAAATGTTGGCTGTCCCTCTTGTCATCTTCTTTGAGATTCCACTCCAAAAAACAAAACAAATCTTAAACATACAAAGCATTAGTCAACACTAGAATTTACTGTGGATTTCATTGAGCAGACGGAAGAGAAGGCTTACATTGCACAGCAGATAACATTTTGCGGGGGGGAAAAAACTCATTAAATGAATCTTTTCTCCCAAACTCTCTTCTCAGTCTCATAGCTAAAACTTTTCTTCATTCCCCAACACCCTCCATCCTGAAACCACCGCTCTATGCCATCCGTGAATGCACTCAAGACAGTACTAGTTTAACCACTCATGCTTAATGCCCACAATGTGCTAAGACAACTGGTGAAAGTAGCATCCAGATCCCTGAAGTCATTCTTAAAGATACTGCCTTGAGCCTGCTCCCTCTTGAGCAGTTTACAAGAAGTAGAGATCTGGAACTCAGCTACTCAACCTGTGAATTTCCACCACTGGTGAGGTTTTAGGTTCACAATAGTTTTAAAATAAAAATGCTCTTTGAATATGTGACACATTTAGTGGATGCCAGTAGCCACTCACATCTTAATTTGAGGTCATTTTATTAGGTACTTTTCTCCTAACAACTAGTTGGAACCCTTGCTCTGAGAGGACAACAGTTTCACTGACAGGTGAGGGCATGCGAACAAAGGGTTGAAAGTTGGTGATGCTCACAGCCCTGCTGAGGCCAACCCGGGATGCTGCAGGGCTGGGCAACAGGGAAGAGGGAGAACCCGGAAGTTGGGAGAGGGGCTCAGAAAGGGAAACAGATCACCAGGCACAAGCCTCATCCATGTCACAGCTTGGCCCAGGATCAGCTCTGGGACAGCTTTTATTCTGTCAACATCGTTCCCCTTAAATCTTCATGCGAATCACAAGCTGAAACTTGAATAAATCTTCTTTGCACCAGTGTGTGACAGTCAGAAAGGACGTGCCAGTGCTCCACCCACATCATCAAGGAGTGGCTTACCTTTTGGGTAAGGTCACTGGCTTCGTTGATGTACCGATCTCGCTCCTTTTCCAGCTGAAAGATGATCTTTCTCTGCTTCTGAGCCTCGTCCTTGTAGTTCTGGATTTCTTCCTCCAGGTTCTTCTTGGCTTGTTCATGGAGCTTTACCAGGTCTATCTGTTTCTGGGTCGCGTTGACTGCCTTAAGCATATTCTAAAAATAAGGACAACAGAGCAGCCTTTACTCAAAATGTTTGGGGATTTTGGGTTCAATTTGCCTCCTGCCTCATCCCTAAAATAATTAGATGCATAGTTTTTTGGATGAATAAAAATAATCATATTCTCTACAGCTAATTCAGTTATTAACTCTAACAGTTACGTTAATTTTGCACAAGACACTTTAAACACACATATAAATGGCACTAAGAAACCACAACATCCCTGGGAAATGAGCACTATATTGCTCCTATTTTAGGGGTAAGAAATTGAGACTGAGAAGTCAAGCTACTTGCCTACAAGTTCATAAAACAGGGGAATGGCAGAGCCAGGATTTGAGTCGAGGGCTGGCTGACTCCAAAGTCAACCTCCATCCCAGCTTTAGCCTTTTTCTTGTGAGGTTAGAGCAACTAAACCTAATCATGTAACAGGGCTTTGACTACAAAGTAAAATAAAACCAGCTTATAGAAAATGCAGATACCTAGAATTAACATACAACCCAGCAATTTCACTCCTGGCTATATACCCAAAAGAACTGAAAACATGTGTTCAAACAAAAACTTGCATATGAATGTTCATAGTAGCACTACTCACAAAAGCCAAAAGGTAGAAACAACTCAAATGTCCATCAACTGATGAAAAGATCATTGAAATGTGGTATAACCATACAGTGGAATATTATTCAGCCATAAAAAGGAATGAAGTACTGATACATGCTACAACATGGCTGAAGCTTGAAAACATCACTCTGAGTGAAAGATGCCAGACATAAAAGGTCACATATTGTATGATTCCAGTTATATAAATATCCAGAATGGCCAAATCCATAGAAACAGAAAGCAAATTAGCAGTTGCCAGGGGTAGGAGGAGGTGGGGAGCAGAGAGTTACTGCTTAACAGGTACAGGGTTTCCTTTTGGAGTGATGAGAACATTCTGGAACTAGACAGTGATGATGGTTGCACAAAATTGTGAATGTACTAAATGTCACTAATGGTAAATTTGTCTTATGTGTATTTCACCACAATAAAAAAAATTAACCCAGTTTAAAAAATAAAAATGCAGTTGCCCGGGTCCTAACTCCAGAGATTCTGACACAGTGGACCTGGGATGGGACCCAGGCATCGATATTTTTTTAAAAGCTGCACTGCTGATTTCTCCTACTGAAGTGGAAATGCCTTGGGTTGGCTGCCCAAGAGGCCAGGTAGTTCCCCTGAAACACAGAGTTAATAGCAGTGCAACGCTGGCAGCCGCGCTCATGCAAGAGGGTCCGCTTTCCTAGTCACAGATGAATGGACCCAATCACCCTTCCCAGGGACTTTTGAAATAGGGCCTTTAGATTTTCGCAACTCAGTAGAAGATGTAAAATTGGGAGCTGTTGGTGACAGCAATTTTTCTGTCACATGGACTGGGAAACAGAGAGACAATCTTCATTGAAAGAGAAGAAGAAAGCAAAACCTCAGCAGGAAGTCTGGTGGTGGACAGAGAGGGCTTTCTACGTATCCCAAGAATGCCAGGCCAGTTCCCTATCAGTTCCTGAGGCCCAACTGTATCCCTGGGTTCCAGGGGGCACCTTGTAGCCCATTCCCAAATCTCTAACCCATACAGACCTGCAGCCAGGTCTGAAAACCACTGCAATATAAACAGATAAAATGCACATTAAACTTTGGTTGGGTGTCAGTGTAGAAAATGGAAAAGGTCAACTTTAGTTTCAAGTGTTGAAGTAAACATTTGCTCTATAAAAGACAAAGCCACTTCAACATAACACTGAAAGAACCAAAATATATTAACATTGCTGCCTGTCAAAACTATGCTACTCATTCATTCGACAAATGTGGCATTTCAAGCCAGTCGGGAAAGAATGTACTATCAATAAAGGTTGATTGCATACCTGCCCTGCGGAGGGTCAGCCGCTGTGCTAGGCATTAAGGATGCAATGGCCAGGAAAGAAAAGAAAGTATACCCTGCCCTAAAGGAGGAAGTGACATTCGTCGAATCAAACAAATAAATGTAAAATTAATGTTGTGCTATGTGTCCTACTGTGACATAAAATCTACTGGTTGTTTACCAGTACATATAAAATCTAAAGGAATTAAATGTTACATGTGTTAAAAATAAATTTAAAATCTAAACACAATAATATTGTTTACATATACAAATTTATAGAATAAAGGAACAGTTTCTAGGATTATGCAAAAAAAAAAATGCAATGATTTTCTTACGGAGTGCTCAGCATGTAAAGATATCAAACCTCCTACCTACTATTTTCTGAGATTCCCTAAATAGTCTACTTTAAGTTAAAGGATAGTCTATTTTGTTAACATTTGTTCAATTCTGGGAAACCTAAAGTAATAATGAAAAGTCGGAATGAACAAATACAGGCTGTTTCTACTTTGATGAGATGAAGCGGTCTTGGCCAAAGCCATCAGGCTGTCTGATGGAGGCAGGCTCCCCGCTCTACACCTGGCCTGTCAATTTCTCCTCCCTGGAGGAAATCCTTGAGCAGGGATGTTTACCCTAAATCCTTGAAAGTAGTAAATCTCCTAAGAGTGACCGTCAACAGAAGGAATCCTCTAGAAAGGGTGGGAGAGGAAAGAAGTGGGGGTGGGGGGGTCCTGCCTTGAATGGAGGCTCTCCAGGCCTCAAGCCCCCGCGACCCCTCCTCAGCTTTGGACCTTATCGAGCTCAAAGACTAGGAGAGATAAGGGCCTAAAACAAAGACCAAAATCGACACCAATCCTGAAAAGACGGAGGAAAGGGGAGAGACTTTTATATCACCAAGTGTTACACCGAACACCTCAAAGTTAAAATCTTCTTAGCACTCACTTGTACTTTCTGGATTAGCAGAAGTTGCAGATTATAGATATTAAATTCAGAAATTTGATCAACTGCTTAGGATGCCAAATAACACCAGCAATAAAAACAGACTCCACAAAACGCTCTGAAATCCCCTGCTGGTTTATATCGTAATTCTCCCAATTCCCTTTGTGCTCACAGGTGATAATGCGGTTTCTATTCACAGCCGGTGAACGGCGCACTGTAGACAGCTGCTCAGAGGAAAATGGAGCACTATTATTTATTCTAGTCTACTTTTGTTTGCCTCAGAGTTTTCTCTCCCCATACAACTGGTCGTAGGCAGATATTAGAACACTAAAGAAAGGCATTTATTTACCAGTGCCACTGTAACGAACTCACCTTATTTAATATGTCCCTTTCTCTCAGAAGCTCATCCATCGCTTTCTTATCAAGTTCCGCTTGTTTCTTTGAAGCCTCCACCTCTATATCACCAGGGAGAAAAATAATAATAAACATGGGGTCAACCTAAGAAAGAATCTGCCAAAGACAAAGTGACACAAAAACTGCTCTGTATGCTTCTCTGTAGCTGTAAAACTATTTCTTATTGAGTGCTACACGGTCTTCATTATAACTCAGTGACGTAGGTCTTCCTGTCCCACTAAACAGATGGAAACTGAGGCTTAGAGACATTAAGTCACATGCCAAGGGTTCACAGCCAAGAGGCGATAGGGCTGAGATGGGGAGCATGGTTTCTCTGACTCCAAAATGTCCTTGCCCTTTTTAAATCTTTTTTATCATACAAGTAATTAGACACGGAAAGAAATTAGAAATACAAATAAAAAAAAGAGAAAAAAAATTCAAATCAACCAGAATCCACTTGGATTTTGAGAATTCTCTTTCCAGACTTTTTCCGATGCAAGTATATGTGTGTACATAAATATAAATACACATACATTCATATAAATATACCAAAAGGGAATCATACTACACATACTGTTTTGTAGCTTGCTTTTATAATTACCAAAAATAAAACAAATGCCTCTCTATATTGTAAATGTGCATCTACAACAGAATTTTTTAATGACTCCATGATATTTCACTATATAAAAGTGTATAATTTATTTAGTCAATACTCCACCTTAACATTTAAGTTGCTTCCATTTTATTTATTTGTTTGCAATTATAAGCAATAATCCTGGGAAAGTTCTCATTCATTTATGAGAAGGAAGAGGAAGTCCTGGATCAAAGGGAATTTAAAAAAAAAAAAAGACCTTTCTCTCTTACTGCCAAATTTCTCTCCAGAAAATTAATAGCAATTTAAATCCACACCCAAAGCACCACTGGGTATTATCATTTTCTTTGATCTTTGGCAATCTGATAGATTTTTAAAAACTAGTATGCCCGTATTTAATTTACATTTCTTTGATTAGTAGCAAAGTTGACTACTTTTTCATGTTTAATGACCATTTCTTTAGATTTCTGTTTTTCAAATTGCCCACACTTGCCCTTCGCCCATTTTTTTCATGAATTGTTTATCCTTTTTATGGATTTGTAAGAGCTCTTTACATATATAATAAGGATACTAACTCTGCAATATTTTGGTCAATTTGCCTTTATATGGAGAGTCTTTTGCTATATAAAAAAATTAGCTTTTATTTCATTAAATCTCTCAATCTTGGCTTTATAGTTTCTACATTTGATGTTAACTTTTTTCCCCAAAAAGTAGTTTATTGTCATACTACCATTTTCTTAATAATCCATACTGCACACTGGTATAAAACAACACCTTTATCTTAGAAGATAATTTGGGGTCTTTTGGTGGCCTTTCCAATCTTTTCCATTGATCTGTTTATTTCGGCATTTTCACTACACTATTTGATTATTAAAGCTTTATAATACATTTAAACACCTGGTAAGGCAAATGCTCCCTCATCACTCTTCTTTTCCAGAATTTTATGGCTATTGTCACATGTTTATTCTTCTGGGGGAACTCTAGAATAAGTTTTCAAGTCCCAAACATTAACTCACTGAAATTTTTACTGGGAATATTAAATGTATAGATTAATTTGGACAGATTTATATCTTTATCATTTTGAGTTTCTCATCCAGGAACTTGGTATATCTCTCCATTTTCTCCAAGACTTCCTTTATATCTCTCAGTAGAATTTTGTAGTGTTTTTTATATATAGGTCTTGCAGATATCTTGGTAACTTTATTCATAGATATTTTATTACTCTAGTTGCTATTGTGAAAGGGGGTTTTTCCATCATATATTCTAACTGATTCTTTTTACAAAAGAAAGCTATTGATATCTATATATTTATGTTATAACCTGTCACCCTATTGAACTCTCATTAGTTCTAGCAGTTTTTCAGTTCATTTCTTGGATTTTTGTGGTAGAAAATCATGACATACGGAGAACTCATGTCCTTAACCATTATGTCCAATGCCACTCTTTGATGGGGCACATGAAAAGGAAGAGGTCCCTAAGAAGAAATAGCTATGTTAATGATATTTATAAAATAACATGAAGAGACAGCATGATGATGTCGGTAAACACAATTTAAGGATGAAAAATTGGGTTCAACACTGAAAAGATAAATATTTTTTTTTTCAAAGCTTAGAACTAGGGCCGGCCCGGTGGCTTAGCGGTTAAGTGCGCACGCTCCACTGCTGGCGGCCCGGGTTCGGATCCCAGGCACACACCAACGCACCGCTTCTCCGGCCATGCTGAGGCCGAGTCCCACATACAGCCACTAGAAGGATGTGCAACTATGACATACAACTATCTACTGGGGCTTTGGGGGAAAAAAATAAATAAATAAAATTAAAAAAAAAAAAAAAGCTTAGAACTATTACAAGCAAAAATACAGAAATTTAAATATGGGAGTGTTTTGAAAGTGACTAAGCCAGTTACAAGCCATGCTCTAGTAGTTCCATTTTTCTTCATATTTGTCATTGAAGACATTAGATTGTAAACTTGTGCTGGACTGTATGCATCCTGAGGGCAGGGACCTCCATGTGCCCAACGCCTAGCATAATGCCTGCACATAGTATGCACTCTATTGATTGAATGAATGAATAAATGGAGAAATTGTTGCGATCAGCTGCCACTGCACCTCAATAAAAGATTATTTCCTGATGTCTTAGGAGGAAAAATATCTTCATTTCTCAAAGACTTACATGACAAATATTTATAATAATCTTATCTAGAAATTTAGATTTTACCTAACTTTTAGTGAGGCAATGTATGTTTTTATGCTATTCCTTATATTATCTTATTCGGTGATTTACAACTCACAGCAGCGTGCATGAGGTCAATGAGGTGTTCCTGCCTCACATTTTCTGGTGTCGTCAGAATTCGAAACTTGATCCTCTGTTTCCAAGTCCAGAGCTGTTTCTACCACACCAAATTTAACAAGTATATGCTATTTTTAATTATATTCTTTTTCAGAATGGGATAGTATTCTATTTTATTACTTATATAAATAGTAATGTATCTGGATAATAATAGATGACATTTAGAAAGCACTTAACTATATGCTAGGCACGGTCTGCAAGAGCTTTGTGTGTATTAGCTCATTTCATCCTCCAACAACTAAATGTGAAGGAGGTGGGATCTGAACCCAGGCAGATCTGACTCCAGAGTTGGTATCTTTAATGATTTTTCTGTACCATATGGCCTCCTGTGGCACTTAAATATTTCCTCCACAGGTCAGTGTGATAGCTGGGTTTGCCATATGGTAAAGTACTAACAGAGAAAAGAAGTGAGAAGCCATTTTTTTTGTCCCACTGATTCTTGGTACATATTGTCTCAGATATTGCTAATGTGGGACATTCATTTTAATTCATCTTCTATCTTCTGTGCTAAAAGGGGACAGAAGCAAAAGGTCATGTAGAACCCAGACCTGAGAGTATAGATGTTATTTACTCCATTGACAAATACTGAGCAATACTTCAGGCTCAATACAGCCTGTTGAAGAATTTTTTAAGGTAAGAAAGTTTAAGGTCTTCAAAATGATGTCCCCTCCACATTAGCTACTTACCAGTTTGAATGTCGTTTTACTGACTTCATTTGGCATCGGTGTGTTTGTACACATGGAGCTCTGGGTTGCCAAATGACATCAGCCACCAAGGAAATGTTTACAGACTAATAAGACCAAGCACAAAAGGTTCTTGGTTTACCTCTCTCTAATCCCAAGATCTGATTTTTCAGAGTTTCCTTGTGCTGTTCCACTTCTGCCTTTTGATCTTCAATCTGGTGCAATTTCTTATGGATTTGTTCTCTGATTTTGTTGAGCTTCCCGATGTCAAGGCGCATCTGATGGACTTCTTCCTCTTTGGCCTGTAATTAGTGAGAAAGAAATAACCAGGGACACCCAGTAAATAAAGGACCGGTGACTGGATGATGGCAAACTCAGAACCAATAAAAGGAAATTCTTCCTGTGTCAGTGCAAAGTTGTTCTATGGGATTAAATCAAAACACACGCTGTCTGGATTTGAGAGCAATTGAAAAACTCTATTCTCTGAATAAAATATGTGGCTATATAAGCTAAAAATAATGAAAGGCCTGATGAAACCTGATGTCTCAAAGTACCATCAAATTGTTGAATCAAACAAGATAAGAATGCTGAGTTGTATGTATCATAAATGTGTGAAATTTGTGTACAAATGCTGTATTCGATTAGCCATTTTCATAGACTCACAAAATGATCTCTGTCAAAAGATTAACATGCTATAAAATATTCAAACACTCTTTTGAACTCACATGGCCACCATAGTTCAATTACCTACATTAGAGAAAGGGTCCTTCTTCCTCAGAATATGTTAGTCTATGAGTGTACATACGGACAGGAGGACAGAAAAACATTAACAGACAAGTCTACATGATGGCAAAAGGTACCAAAACAATAATTCTACCAAGGTAAAGCACCAGATTTTTGCCTATAGACTTCAACTTTTAGGAATTTTTTTAAATTGAAATTAAATTCGGGGCCGGCCCCGTGGCATAGCGGTTAAGTGCGTGCGCTCCGCTGTTGGCGGCCCTGGTTCGGATCCCAGGCGTGCACCGATGCACCGCTTGTCAGGCCATGCTGTGGCACCGTCCCATATTAAGTGGAGGAAGATAGGCACAGATGTTAGCCCAGGGCCAGTCTTCCCCAGCAAAAAGAGGAGGATTGGCACGGATGTTAGCTCAGGGCTGATCTTCCTCACAAACAAAAAAAAAAGAAATTAAATTCTTTTTTAAAAAAATTTTGCCATTCTTCGAAATTACTGGAAATAAAGGTTAGCAATTATCCCCAGTTCTTGACAATGAAGAGACTGCACTTAGCTGGGCACGTTATCCTCAGATTACTGCTAGCAGCAGAATCTCATAGGTTCAGACCTGATAACAAAAATATTCTATCTTTCAAGGTGCCCCATTCATGTTATTGAAGGAGAGAATTAATGGCATAAGTATTTTTACTTTAATTTCACCTTAGGGGCTAATATATTATTTTACCTTTGGTAGTCATTTCATATCTGCTTCAATTTACAGCATTCTCATGAAGAATGGTTTCGAGTCAAATCATTTTGGACTGCTTTAAATGTTCTTCAGCCTCAGACCCTACAGGATCCAAGTTAGTTGAGCTAAGACTCCTTTCAGTTCTAAGATGTTCTAATTCAGTAGTTATTAATCCAGACCCCATGAGTCATAGACTTCAGAAAAATTCCAGAAAACCTCTGAGACTGCATGCAAAACAAGATACAAGATGTACAAATAAGTGTGTGTGCAGGCGTGTGTGTGTGTGTGTGTGTGCACGCTTTTGTCAGATTCTCAAGAGGGCCTATGATGCAAAAACTGTTATAATTCACTTCTCAAAGCTATATATTATTCTTGATCAGTCACTCGTTTTATTCCCAGTATTCTGACATAATCAGAGCAGGGTTTATGAATTTTTCAGAATTAAAGTGATAAACATGAAGCTGCTCTGTTAAGCATGTAGGCATACGATATGTATCCAAGTATAAAACTGCTATCCAGACTTAATTTGCAAGCACTCTTCACGGGGGCAGGGAGAAGAATGGGGGCGGGGGGGGGGTCTGTCTTGAAATTTACATTGAACAGAAGTGAAAATCGCGGTTCCACAATCCTGGAGGTAGATACCCAACAACAGTACCGGTCTGTCCCCCACCCCTCCCATTCCACCTTCTCCATGCAAGTAGTAAAATATAATCTGACTTCTTTGCTACTCACTCATGTAAATGGTTTCTAGCTCTGGGCAACTGGTTACCTGCAAGGCTATATTACAGAGATGAACATCTGAGCTCCCTTTAGAAAGCATTTGCATAATCATAGGATCAACAATCAGGTTTGAAATGAGTAAGAATGGATGTTACCAAACTGTCTGCTTTGGGGCATAATGCAATCACTGTAGGCTTGTGCCTGCCTCTGATGTATCAAGGCTAACACAAGTTATCCAACCAAGGGCTCCAACCACAACGGCCTATACTAATAGGGAATGAGGGCGGGAGAGCGAGGGAACAGATATGCCACTCGTGTTTACTTTGAGCTCCAATGCCTTCTGATGGTTTTCCTGGGATAGCTGCTCACAAACCAAACTGTGTTGTTCGTTCTCTTGCTGAAGTTTAGAATTTCTCATCTGAAACTGCTCCAGTTCCTTTGCAGCTCTCTCGTTCAGTATCTGAAAGACGCAGAAGGAGCTGGTTAATGCCTTTTAATCTGATTACAGTATCTGCATATCCCCACTGGAGGCCCCAAAACCCTCCTGGGACGATCACAGCAACCACACATTTTTTGTCTTGGTAGAAATTGTTCTTTATCCCTAGTGAAAGCACTAATGCACTCAGATACGATGAATGCTAAACGGCTGAGGAAAATGACGCCTTCTAATGAATAACACAGAGAGCATAATTTTTTTCTGAGAGTCTGGGGAAGTCTTGCTCACAGGTGGTGGATAAATATTTTAATGCCTGCTTGCCATTTGGCAGGCTTCGCATACGCAACAATTGCTATAATCATTGCAAGTGAGCTAGAGATTCAAAGGGGTTTTATCAGCTGTGGGGCTCGGAAGCTACATCTTCAGAAGCAAATCCTGCATTAACATGCCTACGATATTTTCTTGAACAGAACTGTTCACTAACGCCAACACAGAGACAATTCCCTTTTAATCCAACTTAAGTCAAACCCGTGGAACAGCAGTGGAATGATTTCTGTCTGTCTGACTTCAGTGTCAGTTGGATTTTCCTCTTCCCTACCTTGACATCCTGAGCAGACACAGTTTTATAAAAACAGAGGATTATATTTTGGGGGCCATTTTTATTGGGGGAATATGAAGAAGATGGAGAGAAATCAAATGGGCTGAAGTAAAAAAAAGAGAGAGAAGATGGTTTAGTCACTTACTCTAAAATATATCTTCCATTCAAGCAAAAGTTAAGCATGGAAAGAATCCATTCAATTGGCCATCAATAGGGACTAAATAAAATATAGCCGGCTACGCTAAAAATGAAATTGTATTTTACATGTGTCCTAGGTATCGCTAAACAGATCACTATAGTTTTATCATCATGCCCAAAAACCTCTCAAATTTCACGTTCAAAGAAGTCTCATGTTTTTCTCATGAATACTGCACAGTGTATTATCTGTTTGATTTCTGGCTTTATATAAAATTAATAAAGCAACTCACAAAGAAATATGTTCTTATATATATTTTTTTTTAAATAGAAAAATTCTGTACGGCTTGACAATTCTTTGGAAACTTCCTAAGAGAATATATTTTCAAGAAATGACTTTTTTCAACTATATGGATTGCTTCTTTAAAAAATTAGAAAATACAGACTGGAATTATTACTATTTATGTTATCTTAAACAGCTATTATAGGAGAAATGTTAAAAAAAAAAATACCATATTTAAAATGCATAAAGACTGAGTATGTTTTCCTAAACTTGAAACTTAAAAATAAACCTGTACAATAAATCATGTTATATTCACACAGTGGAATACTATAGAGCAATGAGAGTGAATGGTCTATTGAGCTCTATCCCACAGAACTTTCCACAATAATGTAAATGTTCTTTGTCTGCCCTGTCCAATACTATATCTACTAGCCAATGCTAGTGCAACGGAGGAAGTGGATTTTTAATTTTATCTAACTTTAAATAAATTAAATTGTCACATGTGCTAGTGGCTACCATATTGGACAGCACAGTTCTATAACTATGTGGCAACAACATAAATGAATCTCACCAACAGAATATTGAACAAAAGAAGTTAGACACAGAAGAGTACCTCCTATATGCTTTCATTTCTATAAAGTACAAAAAGGGGCTAAACTAATCTCTGTTTAGAATTCAGAATACAAGTGCCCTTTGAGGGAGAGAGTGACTAGGAGGGGGCACAAGAGGGTTTCTGGGGTGCTGTTTCTTAGGCTGGGTGCTGGTGACCAAGAAGTGTTCAAGCGGAGAAAATTCATTAAGCTGTACACTTTTGGTACATACACTTTTCGATGTGTGTATTATACATTGGTGAAAGGTTAAAAAAGAATTAATTAACCTGTTGGAGTTAAAAAAAGGAGGCATATCAACCTACAAGAGTAAGAGCCATTGGAAGCCCAAATGCAGTGCTAAGTGTTATGTTACAACACCCACAGTGGAGGAAGTTTGCTTCCCAAAGAAAATCAGAAATCCTCTAACAGGCTGTGAACAAAGGCGCCATTCTTGTTTGTTCGAGGACCCGCAAGGCAGCCCCCCCCCAGCACACCTTCTGCTCCTTCAGCTGCTGCTCCAGCCTCTGAAGCTCCTCCTTGCTCTTCTGCACGTACTGCTGCAGGGCCTTAATCTCCGTCTGCCTGCTGTCCATGTCCATGTGAATCTGCTTGAGCTCTTTCTCTAATTTCTCCTTCTTTCGAGCCTCCCTCGAAGATTCGTTCTGACGTAGCTGGATTTCTTGCTGGAACTACAGGCACAGAAAGGACAGGAAGGAGAGAGATGAACACTCACCAGGACAGGGCTGAACCAGCCGAGCCTCTCCCTCTCTCAGACCTTTCATTTTCAGGGCAATGCTTTGTGGTGCATTTTCCCTGTAGGACAGTCGTCTCTGAACCTCACTGTTCCAACTTTTCAAGAATATTCTGTACTGTTTTTCAGAGCCTTGACAGCAAACATCCACCCTAATGGTGGGAACAAATCCACAAAGAAAGAACGGTGTAAAATCCAATTAAATATGGAAGCCCAGAAATCTGGAGAAGTTACACATGGAAAGAATTCATCCAATTCTCCATCAATAGGAACTAAATAAAATGTAGCCAGATGCCCTAAATATGGAACTGTGTTTTACATGAGTCCTGGATATTGCTCAACAAAGCACTATAGTTTTATCAAGATATCCAAATTCTACGAAAGGCCTTTCTCTTATCTCATGCTCAAAGAAGTCTCATGTTTTTCTCCTGGAGACTGCCCTTGTGTATTATCTACTTGACTTCTGGCTGTATATAAAAGTGTTCAGAAGGGTTCAGCTAGATGGCTTCCTTACAAAGGAGAAGAGCCAAGGGCACTACTTGTACCACCCCCAGGCGCAGGGCACCTTAGCCTTCACAAGGGACACTTTCTTGGGCCAAAATTGTATGCAGTGCTCTGCCTTAATGACTTCTCAGACAGAGAATACTGAGAATGACTCAAGTAGTAAAACTGCTCTTATAAGGACAAACCAGAGAAACAAGCAGAACAGCAGATGCTTCATTTGGGCACCAGGGGGTAAATTTGAGACAAGAACAAGATGGGAAGGGAGCCTGGGGAAGGACGAAATGTCCTTATGGAAGGAAATAGTCCTTCATCTTGCTCTCCATGTAGAGCAAACCTGACTGATGGTCTGCTCTGCCTCTTCTCTGGATCGCTCCGTTTCCTGCTGCTGTTCAGTGGTCTGAGCCAAGGACTCCCGTAATTTCACCACTTCTGACAAGAGCTGGTCTCGCTCCTTTGTCACTTCTTCTTTGCACTTCAGTAAATCTCGGATACTCAAAAAGAAGAACACAGGAGTCAGACTAAATGGCCATCTGCTCAGGAGTCCTGCTTATCATCTCCTGAACTGAGTTTCAGGGGAAAGACTTCAGGTCAAGGATTAACAGTATTCAGATGTGAAAGAGAAAGACCCTTATGCCCTGACATGGGAGCTGTTTGTGAGTTGTTAACTGAAAAAGAAGTTCCAATAATAATATGCACACGGAGCCAGCCCAGTGGCATAGTGGTTAAGTTGGTGCATACCACTTTGGTGGCCCAGGGTTTGCCGGTTCAGATCCTGGGCATGGACATACTCACCACTCATTAGGCCATGCTGAGGTGGCATCCCACATAGAAGAGCTACAACTCTACAACTATGATACACAACTTTGTACTGGGGCTTTGGGGAGGAAAAAAAAGAAAAAAAAGAGGAAGATTGGCAATAGATGTTAGCGCAGGGCCAATCTTCCTCAAAAAAAATAATAATAATATGCATAATATGATCCCTTTTCTTATTTTTAAGAAATCACAATGTCCGTGTGTGTGTGCGTGTTTTATAGGCATTTTTATAGAAGTCCAGAAAAATAGACACCAAACTGGTAACTGATTATCTCTGAAAAGTGGGATTTAGGGTGGAAGAGTTGGGAGGATGATTTTCAGTCCTTAGTTTACACACCTCTGTATTATTTGAGTTTGTTACAATAAGACTATGTTGCTATTGTCAACTCTTATAATTAAACCTAAGGAGATGTCAATTTAGAAAATTATTTATTTAATATATCCACTGGTGGGCTATGATCACAGCTATAAAGTCTAAAATGAAGCATAAACATAAGTAAATAATACACATGGCCAGTGTTCTATCCATTCACCCATAGAGAAGAGACTCATTTCTCCCAAGGGGATGCAACTCAGATAAAATGTTCCCAGGAACAAAACTTGGAGAATCATGCATAATACCAGTTTTCGTAGAGTGTGCGATAATATTTGTTGATTTGCATTGTAAATCAACTTCCACATTTCAAAACCCATTACATATGATTTGGCATGACTTTCTGCAGAACTAGTGTTTTGAAAGCAGAAAAATTATGTCTGATACGACCTGTGCATCAGAATTAGTCTAGAACAAGACAGCTACTGTAAAGCTGAGAAAGCCGAGAACTTGCACTCGAGACCCTTGCATCTGACTGTCATCGAACGACTGTTCAAAACATAGCAATTTGACAAGATTTATTTTAACATAAGTGTTTAACAAAGAACCTTCAAAACTGCATTCAAACTCTTCTCCAGAAACAAAACCTTGAATTCTAAGGTTGCTGTGAAGACAGACAGCTACACCTAAGCACACTGTTGAAGATAAAATTCTGGGCCGGTTATTTCTTCAGCTCTCCTCATCACGTTCCAGTTCTCGTTAAAACTCTTCCTAACTGAATCAGTTCCCTCACATTGCTCTTCAATAGTTGCTCTGATTATGTGTTTATGAACACCACATGTTCTGTTTGTTTTTCCTATTCCCTCCCCCAACATCTGCACTTAGAACTATCAACATTGGCTTAATGCATCTAGAAAGCATAAGAAACCTAGACAGCAGTTAGATTTGGTTAAGGATGCCTAAGGAAGCATATACTTATTCCTGATTCATTAGTTAATCGCATGCCCTGCACAGTGCTAGACTCCTAGAAGGAAGGTGAAGGTGTCTTCCTTCAAGGAGTTCACAGAGAAGCACATCAACAAATAGTTTCAATACAATGTGATCAGTGTCATACTTCAGGTCGATGTTGGGTCCTATGGAAACAGAGAACACAGTGACTCTTCTGCTTGGTCATTGGGTCTGAGGGTGGGCAGGAGGTTGTGACAGAGATGCTGATGGTGATGAAGTTAAGATGGTGCTTGAGATGAATCTTGAAGGATGCAGAGTTGTTTACTGCATGGAGAAGGGAAGAAAAAGCATTCCTGGCATAGAAAACAGCATTTTCAAAAGTATGGAAGCATGAGCAAGTGTGGCTTTGCTGGACATGAGTCTAGTAAGACTGACTGAGGCAGATCTATGAAGTGCTTAGAAAGACATGTCCTAGACTTTGGGATTTATCCTTTGGGAATGGGTAGCTATCAAAGGTGTTTATGCTGGAGACGGAAGCATGTTGGTACATGTTTCAGAAGCATAAATCTGGTATGTGGAAGATGGTAAAGAGGGGAGATGTCTCTTTGAAGGCAGGGAGAACAGTTAGGAGTCTACTGCCAAAGCCAGCAGAGAACAGGGGCCCAAAGCAAGGCATTAGCACCGGCGATAGGAAGGAGGGAAAGACCAAAGTGATGCTTAGAAGACTGAATCAACAAGGTGAAGCTTTAAGGGATAAAAGAGTGGCAGAGGTGAGAAGCAACTCTGTATTCTGGACTAGAACCTGAGAAGTAAGAAGGATGGTGATGTGATTAATCATGGGGTGGAGGAGGGTGGTACGGAAGGACCTGGAAACCTGAGCAGAACGGCAGCCAGTTCCATTCCACACAAGTTTGAGAAAAATAAACCTAAAATCTTTACTCATTTTGAAACTGTAATGCTGATTCTCATAGAGCTAGAAGTTTAACATAATCACAAAATCGGAGTTCTTGGGTGTGGAGAAAGGGAGCATTAAAAAGGAAAAATAGAAATAGACAGAAAACAATCTCCAGGTAACCAACAAAGAAGGAGAGTCTTGTATCATGAAGAACATTCAAGGTGACATTGGCAAGCCCCAGGCTGTCTGTTGAAGAAGAAGACTTCTGCAAAAGCAAGTTCGACATACATCAAGAAGGCTATGACCTACTTGCTATCATGGTCCATTGACAGTCCAGACCCTTGCTCAACTAGTTTGGTGAGGTTCACTATCTCCTCTTTCAGCGCGAGAATCGTCTCCTTCGCCTTCTGCTCTTTATCATAGGCTGAGTCCACCATCTTCCAGGCCTTTTCAATTTCCTATATGGGCCACAGGATACCAGTGAGAAAAACCAAACTCGGTTCCAGAAGCAAGATAAATTGCATAAATAGAATAATAAGACAACTACAATATAGTAGTCATTTATGGGGAAAGAAGATTACACATTATACTTTATGCATTAAATTTATATTGACTGACTGAATTCTTCAACATGAGGTAGTCAATTCTGAACAGCAGTTTTAAGGATGGGTACTGGCTAAGGATATTTTTTATTGTGTAGGTGAGGGTGGCTACAAGGCTCACATACAGCAAGGGCTGCTATAACTAGTGGGATTATTTCTAATAAAGATGTTAAGATAGGTTTACAAAATTAAAAATGAGAACTTATGTGCTTTCCAAGTCCAGATATTTTATAGAAAAAAAAAGCTTTATCACATAAGGAATGGTCTTGGATCCAAGCCCTAAATTTGAAGTTCTTGATAGATTCCAAATAAAAAATATATTTTGTCCTCAGGTCCCATGTGAGCTCCTGGATGGCAATGTCAGCTTTAGAACAATCCATAGCAAGGTGGTCTTCACTGTTACCTAATTGTATAACAGCCTTGGTAATTCCCATTTTCAGAAACCCAAGCCCAGGCCTTCCCACCAAATGCTTATGGGTGGAAAACAAAACCCACAGCCGGGGACTCATGCAACCTTGACTTCCTTACTACTATGAAATGCAAGGTAGAATATTAACATAAATACTTAAAAGTGAATTACAGCCATTCAAGTAAACCAAGAAAGCACAGTAAATGTTACAAGAGCCTTGGGTTTCACCCTGCCACTTAATTTTCTTGCAAGATTTCATCAAACGGAATGTGGGTCACTGATACAAGAACCTATAAGATTTAGGTGAAAATATTCTACTTTTATGTTGACAAGGAATAAAACGAGTGAAAGATAGTACATAATTATATAAATTCATGCTCACTATTACATTAGAGAGATGCCTCTTGGGTAACTACAGCACATAATTTAATGATTCAAAACAAATGTCAGTTTATGGGATATGTTTTTCTGTAGAGAGCATATGTACTATTTTCAGCAAAATAAACGAAGGATGTTTAAATGAAAATATGATTATATGAAGTTTTGTCCAAATCAACTGCACCAATTAGATTTTAATCAATTCATGACTTGCATTTACAGTTTTTTAATTTACAATAAAAAGTGTTGGGGCCGGCCCAGTGGCGTGGCAGTTAAGTGCGGGCGCTCCACTGTGGCGGCCCAGGGTTTGGATCCCGGGCATGCACCGACACACTGCTTGTTAAGCCATGCTGTGGCAGAGTCCCATATAAAGTGGAGGAAGATGAGCACGGATGTTAGCCCAGGGCCAGTCTTCCTCAGCAAAAAGAGGAGATTGGCAGATGTTAGCTCAGGGCTGATCTTCCTCACAAAAAAAAATTTTGAAAAAAAAAATTTTTTTAAGTGTTTATTTTTTCTCATCATAAAGTGGATTAAAGCCTTCTTATATTGGCTTTTCAGCAAGGAGAAGAAGAAAGTGACAATAGAGAGAAAAGGACACTGAAAAAAAGTCATTTCTAAGAAAACAGATAAGTCGTAATTTGCACTGGTCTGGGAAATTCATTTTAATTGGGGTCTATTTAGTTGCATGATATCAAGGAAATTATCTAAAAATTTTGTAAATTATTTCTCGTCACTAGGCTTTTAATTTTAAATTGAAATGTCTTAACTTCTTATCACACTGCAATCTACAAGGAACATTTATGTTTTATCTTCAAAATAATGCAACACACTTGAGAATGAAAAAATAAACTGTAAAACAAAGCCATATACTTCCCAACGTGCCCCTCTAGACTGAATCCCTGTTCTCCCGCTACGAGGGACTGGAAGAGCAAGGCGTAAGCAAGGGAGTGATAAGAAGAAAGATCCTGAAAATTACCATCTGGGAATTCTCAAGGTAGTCCCTCCTAAAACAGCAGAAAAAGTAGAAACATGAGAATATCTTTAACAAGCTATCATCATGAGATATTTAATTACTCACTCTACATCAAACAAGACAAATTGAGATTCCTAATATTGCACTTCCCTATCTCTAATTCTCTTTACTAACCCAGTATTTCTTAGAAACCAAGCCAGTAAGGTTCTACATTATTTTATGCATAGTGAAATTCACCCAGGCTAATTATTTTCTTTGAAAATAAACTTTATTCCCAAGACTTAATGAATATATAAATCATGTAAATTTTTACTTAATAACTCTTTTACTACCAGCCCAGAGCTGCCCATGTAATGAAAGAATGACGCTTTAAGTATAGGATGCATTTATGGCAGGTCTCCATTGGTTCCATTTCTATAAGATCACTGACCTTCTTTAGGGACGCGATGGTGGTCTGATCATCTTGAGAGAGCTTCAGGGCAGTGGCAACCTTCGCGGAATTAACCACAATCTCTGCATTTAGCTCTCTGCATTTGGCCATCAGACGCTTTTCATTGTCATAAGACTTTTTCATGACAGCATGAAGCTTCTCATATTCGATCCTAAATCTTTCCAGACTTTTGTCTCCTGAAAGTTCACTGAGAACCTCCTGAAAATCCCTTTCGATTTCTTCAAATGCAGTTTCTTCCAGTACTAGTTTGTCACTCTTTTCCTGTACAAAAGAGCAAGGGTGGGAATGAGTATTGCAACATTTACATTACTGCTATTCAGGAATTACTGTTATCATCCATGAATAAAAGATCTTTGTACAGGCAAAATAAAAGCCACTGACAAGCAGAAAAATTAAGACTATATGATGGGAAGGCTCCTTGTTCATCCCCTGTTGCATGTATATATATATATAGAGAGAGAGAGAGATATAGAGATATATATATACACATACACACACATATGCATTAGGATAACAATATTTCCTACCACATGGTGTTAACGATTATATTAAATGAGATAATTCATGTTAAACACCTAGCCAAGTGCCTGGCAAACAGTAGGCACTCAATAAATTTTGATAGCTGTTATGACTATTCTAAGCCCTCATCTCTTTACATTTCTTCCTGCTTCTTACTGTCCCCAGGACTGCAGAGGGAAGCTATGGCATGTTGAGGTCAGACATAAGGAGATCTTGTTATAGATACTATGAAATCACACATACAGTAAAACCCATCTGAAATATGGAATATTCTCCTAAAAGATATTCCATAATTTTTATGCCTTAAAAAAATTAGGTTAGGTCACCCCCACAAGTATACTGAAATGCCCCCTGTGCAATGCTCATGGGCCTTTTCCACATTTGCTTTCCATGATTATCTGGGCAACAAATTATTTAAAAATATAAGCCCAGACATATAGATATAATTCAAGGCAGTCACGCTATGACTTAGATGAGAACCCAAGAGTTAGGTATATAATAATTCTTATTTCCCTAGTGTTATGGGTTGAATTGTGCCACCCAGAAAGTTCTGTTGAAGTCCTAATCCCCAGTACCTCTGAATGTGACCTTATTTGTAAATAGAGTCATTGCATATATAATTAGTTAAGTTGGAGTTAGGGTGGGCCCTAATCCGAAATGATGGGTGTTCTCATAAAAAGGGGGAAAAAATTGTAACTGTGTGGTGATGGATGTTAAGTAAGCTTATTTTGGTAATCATTTCCCAATATATACATATATCAAATCATTATGTCATACACCTAAAACTAATACAGTGTTACGTGTCAATTATATCTCAATTTAAAAGGAGGGGGGAGATTTGGACACAGATAGACACACACAGGAAAACAGCACATGAAGATGGAGGCAGAGATTAGACCGATGCAGCTGCAAGCCAAGGAAAGCTAAGGATCGGTCACTACCATCAGAAGCTAGGAGGAGGCAAGGAATGATTTTATTCAAAGTCCCAGAGGGGGCATGGCCCAGCCAACACCTTGATTTCAGACTTCTAGCCTCCAGAACTGTGAGATAATAAATTTCTGCTGTTTTAAGCCACCCAGTTTGTGGTAATGCATTATGGCTCCCCAGCAAACTAATATGCCTACTTCTTGTTAGATACAGCACAATAATAAAAAAATGAATGGGTATGGCTAACATATTTATTCAGCAAATATTGACTGAACATCTGCTATATGTAAATCAGAATGATTGAGCCTGTGGGACATATCAAGGTAAGGAATAAGCAGCCCTCCCATAGGAAATTTATACATTAATAGCTGATGGGGTATGTATGCAGATAATGGAAGTATAGAATTTGATGCCTGCCATAAAATGGATTCAAAGTTCTGCAAGGACCAATAGGAAGACAGAATTGCTCCCAGCAGCAAGAATTAAAGCAAATTTCATAAAGGAAGTGGCATTTGAGCAGGCCCAGAAGGGAGAGTGGAAATTTTACACGTGGATATGGAGAGAAAGGGCATTCCTGGCCCACGGCAAAGCTTGAGCAAAGGGTCGGGGCCAAGCAGGTGTCCGGAATTTGAGATTGGTTAAGAAGCTCAAGTTGGCTAAAGTACAAGAAGTATTATAGAGAGAAGACTAGGCAGCGAGCTAGGGACAGACTGGGGGCAGTGAATAGCGTTCTAAGGAATACAGAGTGAATTCGTCTGTAGGCCACCGGGAACCACTCAAGACTTTGGAGCAAAGAAATGATAAGGTTTGAAAGGTCGTATTTATGTTTTCAACATTATGCTTTGATATTCTACACTAAAAAGGGCTTTGGCATCAAAACTCCCCTGCTAATCAAAGAAATCAACTGAGAGAATCTCTAATCCCAATAATAAAGTAAAATTAAAATTCACCCTGAAGATTTTGGGCAAGTAGTCTAGTTTACCTCCTGCTTTGACAAACCTATCTTACCCAATATGGAGAAAGTCTTAATATTTTTGTTTTTCAAAAACGTTTGTATTACTGATTAAATTTCTGAAGATGACACGCAAGCAAAACAGAGTCCACATTTTAAAATAGATGTGGAGTCACAAGCATATCTGTAACATATCATACAACAACATTAGTACTCATGTTAAACTCAACAGAGGTTTTCTTCCGGACTAAAAGCAGATTACTGCAAAGGTCACAATATAGCAATTCCACAAAGGAGGAAAAATCATATTAAGGAAATATGGTGCTGCTGCTGCTCTGTGCCTTCCCTTTGTTGATGCTAAACATGAGCACACACAAAAATTTATCACGGCAATGTTCTCAGTTCCACCCCTGTAAATGGTATTAACGTCAACACTTGATCACTAGCCTAATGATTTGTGTGCACACCAGTCTCTCCCTGTTCACCTGGAACTTAGCAAAGGAATGGAAAAACATCAAAGAAAGAAAAGTTTTAAAGAAAGTTTTGTGAACAAAAGAGATTCGTTCATGTTGTCATTTAAAAATATACTACTATCAAAAGGAAAGCCAAAACACTCTCTTAGTTGTGACCAATAACCAGTTGGTATCTACACTGTTCTAGCATATAATGATATCTATTTCAAAGGCACGATTTCAACATGAACTGATCAGAGAGGAACTGGGATGCTCCTTCATTCAACACCTATCTATTGAGTGTTTACATCTGCCAGGCACTGTTCTAGGTGCTGGGAATACCAATTAGTGGGGAAAAGGAAAAGAGAGCTGCAGTGAAAAATGAGGCCAGAGTGGAAATGGAGACTTGTGAAAGCAGGAGTGAGGAAAACTTGGCTGAGGTCAAGTGAGAAGAAAAATACAAGAAAAGAAGGAATGAGCGGAGATCATGAAAGGGAAGAGAGACTGGGAAATAATTAGTTCATAATACTGGTATCTGGGGCTTATGCAGGGAGAATGAAGAAGAATGAAGTAAACCAAGATGGCTAAGGGGGGAGAAAAGGAGGAAATCCTCAAAAGCAAATAATGGAAAAAATAAAGCAGAACTAGAAGGAACAGGTGAAGGAAAAGCCCAGAAAAGAGATAGGAATGAGTGTGAGTAATAGGATAAGTAACGTGGCCACAGCAGTGTGGATGTAGGAGAGAGATGACAGTGATGGAGCCCATGGAGTGAGGAAGGTGGAGGGTATGAAAGAGATTTATAACAAGGAAAGGAGAGAGCTGTTGACCACAGGAAGATGGAGTTCATCAGGGGAGACTAGATATGGAGGAGATGGAATGATGAAGGGATGTGAATGGTGTAGAGGAGACAAGAAAAGCAACTGGAATAGGGGTGGGGCCATGATGGTGGTTGGGAGAAGCTGGGACCAGGGCTGGCTTCAGGGGCACGTGACCTATGCAGTTGCACAGGGCCCCTTGCTCAGATGGGACCCACCCTTGGTTTAATGTTCTGCTGTTTCGTCTTGAAATTCTTAATAATTTTTTAACAAGGGGCTCTGCATTTTCATTTTTCATTGAGCCCCACAAATTATGTAGCTGATCCTGGCTGGGACTGACCATGTCATGGGTGAGATGGGGGGGCTTCTGATGAGGCGATGAAGGATTTGTGTTAGGGCACAGTGGTTGGGGACTGTGACTGGCAAGTGATGACGGGGACATGAAGTTGTACAGGTTATAAATGAGGGTGCTAATGAGCATACAACAGGTCATTAAAGGGTTGCAGAAATGACCCCTCGTCGGTGAGGCTGAAGGTGGGGTGTACTACAAATTGCGGGAGTGAATGGAGGCTACACAAGATAAACACAGTGGTCAGTGACAACACAGGCGTTGGTGACAGGCTGAAGAGCTTAATGAAGATCCCCTGTCACAGCAGGGAATCGTGGTGCGACAGGTGGGCAAGGGTCAGTGAATAGAGATGACAGTGGCTATCTAGGAAGCCTTCTTCCAGGTCCCCCCAGTCAGTGAGACATCAATATTTCTGTGTGTATCTCACTTGTGGCATCACCTTATGGCTCAAAATCTAAGGGCGTGTGCCTGTCATGTGTGAGTTTGGGAACTTACGAATTTCCTACCATGCTTAGCACAGCGCCAATTTAATAGGTTAGGGGTGGGGGGTGTCCACCCAATTGAAGGAGGGACAGGAGGTAATGGAGCCAGAGCCAACGGGGAGAGGGTGGGTAGGGTAAGGCTGCGGGTAGGGATAGGATGTTGATGGGGGGAATATTCGGAATCAGTGGATGTGACAGGGGGTTAGTCGACAGTAGAAGAGGGACGATGGGGAGGGGTCAAACGGGAGAGGCGACAGAGAGAGAGGCGCTGCCTCCTGACCTCGGCCATCCTGACGCTCTCTGGGGTTGGCCTCAGAGGCTGCTGTGGAGATCGCTGAAACTGGGCCGGAGTCTGAGGAAGGGGCCGTGCACTGCCCCCAGAATCTAAAACGGCGCCACGTTATTTCTATCCCCCTCCGGGGGCCGAAATCCGGCGCTCAGCGCGTCCTCCGGTCGCCTGGCAACCGCCACGCCCCCTAGGGCGCCAGGAAAGGGGAGGAGCCTCTGAGGCCGGCACCTGGGCGGTGTTCATCAGAGACATATGCAAATTACCCTGAATGGGGCGGGACCAAGGAAATAAGGGGGCGGTGCCTCTGCGAGGCGGGGAGGAGTCCAAGGTCCGCGCAAAAGTTGAAAACACCTAAGATCCAGAGGGCACACGGGAAGAGCAACAGAGAAAGAGGACGGCGGGGGAGACCCAGGAGCCAGCAGTGGAAAGCTGAGGACTAACACGTAGAGGGAAATGTGGATCAGAGGGTTCCGGATGAGAGAAGGACCGGCAGCCACCCTCTGCCCTCTCTGACAAATAGACTCGGTCACGGGAACAAGAAACAACCTCAGTTCGAGTCAATTCAACCCTTACGAAGCAGCTACTGTGTGCAAGACACGGAGGGGAAAATAAGGTAGAGAAAACACAGACCCTGCCTTCAAAGGGTTTAGTCACTAGCGGTGAGAAAAATAGCGTGCAGAGCTCGAGGCATCCTGGAAAACCGTATGTGGAGACACATCGTGGAAATCTGCCTAGCGTCTGGGGCGCCCCTCTCAAGACTCTTTCTTCTCCCTCTCGCCCTCCCCTCCCTCTCCTTCTCCACCCTCTTTAGACCTCAGGTACAGAGTTGGAGTAATTAAACTCCCTGGTTCGTGAAAGGTGCAAGACCTCTCTCTTGTTTTATTTTTTCCCGTTTATCCCCATCCCTACTCCCACCCATCATCCTCAGCCCTATAGGTACTCAGGCTACCGTGCTAGGATACGTATTTCTGAAAAATGTATAGCATTTTTATTAGTGCATTTTTTAATGTTTAATAATGATAGTGGACTTTAAGGATCATCTTATTTTCTACTTTTTTCCGCCAACATTCTTTTTAAGGATCTATCCCTGTTGCAGTTGGTATTGTAATCCCACTTCATTGTCTCTGATTGCTGCATAGCATTCTATGTTGGACATCCACACATTTTCACTTCCATCCCCCAAGTGATGGATACCAAGGCTGCCTCCACTCTCCAATACCACAAACAACACAGCCATGATCATCCTTGTCCATGGTCCTTTATGGATCTGTGTGCAAATTCCTCTGAAATATATGCCTAGGAGTGAGATTGTTAAAGTCTTAGGGGATGCACAGGGCCATCACATTTGGTTATACAACTTGTCTTGCACAAAGACATCAAGCCAAAGGGCCCGTGGGGGCTGAAAAACAGTCCCTACTCTCTTTCCCATGTCACGTGCCCTGCCGGAGGAAGATGTGTCCTTTTCTTCTCACAAAAGCTCTGTTACCTGGTCAAGTTGTGAACATAGAAGGCTATAACTATCCAGAGGGTATGCCTTTTTCAAATTCATCTACCTAGACCTGGACGTTATTTTCCAGTGGCACAAAGTTGCCTAGTAGCCTAGTGGAAGCCCTGGGTACTTCACCAAGTAATGCTGGATTGCACACCAGAATTGCTGGCCTACGCAATAGTCCAGTGTGTAGTATAAGGGTTTCTGTCCTCCACTCCCCTCCTTGCCAGCACACGGTAATTTATTTATTCATAAACACTCATAAAGTGTTTACTAAAGCCAGATACTATTCTAAGTGCCTTACAAATACTGACTCATCTAATTAGCCATCTTTCTAATCTCTGTCAATATCGTGGAAGTAGTGTCAACATATTTTTGTTTTATTTGCATTTCTCTGACTACTAGTGAAATTGAGCATTTCTTCATACATTCATAAGCCACTTGGGATCCCCGTCTGTAAATTATCTACTTATAGCCTTTGCCTATTTTTCTATTGGTTTTTTTCTTTTTGATTTGCAAGAGGTCTTTGTATAGTCTGGACATTAATCTGCTTTCAAAGACTGGAAACTTTGCCTGTGATGTCCTTTGTAGAACAATAATCCTTCATTTTTTAACCCTTCATCTTTTTTTTTTTTTTAAATGCTTTTTCAGTATGATCTCAGAGGTCCTTCTCAACCCCAAGGACATAAAGGTATTCTCTGTCATTTTCTTCTATTAGCTTCATAGTTTTACTTTTTCACATTCAGTTCTCTAATCCATCTGAAGTTCACCTTTGCCTATGGTGTGAGATAAGGATCCAATTTTATTTTTCTCAATGGAGTGAGCCCATCTTTCAACATCTTGGTTCCCAAATATAGATGATTCTGTTCTGAGCTCTCTGGTTTGTTCCTGTCCCAGTACCACAAGGTTTTATTATGATGGTTTTGTAGCCAGTCATCATGATTGAAGGGCAAGTCCCCCATCCCTACTTCTTCTGTCAAAATTGCACTCGTTATTCATGAACCTTCATCATCCCGTATAATTTTCAGGATGTTTTTCAAGTTCCTCATGAGAAATTTTAATTGGAACTTGATTGGATTTATGAATTAATTTGGGGGAAATTAACATTTGTACAATTATATCTCATTCATGAACAGAGACTGTGTATCTGGTAGACAAACAGGACACAACCTGGCTGAGGCATAATGTGCTTGGCAGTGGCGGGAGAGGTGACTGAGGAAGCTGGAGAAGCGGCTAACAGAAATGGCTTGGACATAGGGCAGGCAACATGACTCGGGCCGCTTTGCGTGTTTACGGGAAACCTGATGACACATTGGGACTATCGGCTTGTGGACCACCACGATCCAGAGAGATTCCATAACATTCCTGAAGGTAGCTAAACAACAGAGAAAGACGTAAAGGGCCTGGCCACTCATATCTTGTCCTGGTGTCAGTTGTGGGGCTATGTGTCTTCCCATTTCCCAGGAATCTCCTAAAAGACCATTTTACAAGCAGATGGCCTGCAAAGGTGACAGCAATTCAATCCAGAAAACAATCCAGAAAATACATGGCAGGCACAAGGCTGGCCACAGGAATCACAGAAGTGACTCAGGCAGAGTCACTGCCCTTTGCATTCACAATCTGGCTTTGGGAGAAAGAGAGAAAGGAAAAGCTACAATTAATTCTAACACAATATGATGGTTTCATCTAGAACACGCCTTGTCGACAGCAAGCGCTATGGGTACTCAGGGAATCTGGGCACAGTTACCTGAGTGCGTTACTTATGGTGTGGGGACAGAAAGACCCCAACATGAGAAATCAGGGAACCACTGGAGGTGGAAAGGAATGTAACATGTTAAACTCACTGGAAAGAGATGCAGGTGGACATCAACGTGGATGGATGAATGAATGAGACGATGAGTAGTTGGACAAATTAATTTATGCTGATGAAAGAAAATGCTTCATTTCCGATTTTCCAAGTTAGAGAAGACTGTTTACTCACCACCCTGCTCCCCTTTGTTGTTGTAATAAAAAAGAGCACTAGGTGGCATCATAGTACCAAAAGTCCTCACCTTCGGGAGCCTCTGGGAGAAGCACACCAACCAAGATTGGGGTCAGCCTCTCATTTAAACAAATACTAGTGCTTCTATCAATCTCATTTCCCATGACACCCACTTAATTTATTTATCAAGCACCTACTGTATACCCAGCCCCATGCTGTGCACTGTGGCAAAATAAGAGGAGCTGAAGAAAGGATCTTCTCCCTAAAAGAGTATAAGGAGAAGAAAAACATGCATGCCACTCCTTTCCCACACAAAAAAAATTTAAAACAGCCCAAGGCAAGAGTAGTAAGCAAACGAAACGAGGATGTCAGGATATACCAGCCAGTGTAATCTGGCCCCTTTGGCCCTCCGGTGCCTTCTTCCCCACTCACGCTTTGCCACAATAGCTTCTCCAATTCCCTATATATGTCATGTTCTTTCCCACTGCATGGAATTCACAAAGGCGGCTCTCTCTGTCTGGAATACTTGAATCTCCCTCTTTACCTGGCTGACTCCCATCCATCCTTCCTTCAGATCTCACTTCCTCAGGGAGACCTCTCCTGATCAGCCCCCCAACACCAGACCACCTTTTCAAGTACCATGGATTGTACCTCTTGGACCATCCCACAGTGGTAATTAATTATGTATTCATGGAAATGGGTGTTTAATCTGTCTTCTCTGCCAGGCTGTCAGACAACAAAAAGACAAAGATCACGTAAATCTTGTTCAGCCCTGTCTCCACCAGTGTTATGGGCTGAATTGTGTCCCCTAAAATTCATATGTTGAAGCCTTAACCCCCAGTACCTCAGAATGTGACTGTATTTAGAGATAGGGCCTTAAAGAGGTGATTGAGTTAAAATTAGGCCATTAGGGTAGGCCCTAATCCAATCTGAACTGTGTTCTTATAAGAAGAGGAAATTTGGCCACACAAAGAGATACCAGGGATGCACGCACACAGAGGAAAGACACAGCGAGGAGGCAGCCATCTGCAAGCCAAGCAGAGAGGCCACAGGAGAAACCAAGCCCACTGACACCTTGATCTTGGACTTCAGCCTCCAGAACTGTGAGCAAATAAACTTCTGTTGTTTAAGCCACCCCATCTGTGGTACTTTATTACGGCAGCCCCAGCAAACTAGTATAAATGGCCATCACTCCTCTCAGTGTATAACTATTAAGTGAATGACTCTTGAATGAGTTCTAAAATAAGGAAGACCAGTGAAGGATGGCATATTAGAGAAAGGTACATGGTGGATGGCATACTAGAGAAAGGTACATGGTGGACACGACTCTTAAATTTGACCTTAAATGATAATATGAGTTAGAGACGTTGAAGAAAATAGAAGGAATCTCAACTATAGTAAACAGCACTGCGCAGATACAAGAAAAGAATGCAAAATATCCTGCTATAGGGATGGTGGGGTCCCTATCGGGGGCCAGTGGACACCGATGTTGATAAGAGGATGTGGGTGAATGGTGGACCTTTGGAAGAATAGCAGAGAAGTGGCTGCAAACTCAAAGACCAGCGAAAGCCAAGGACACACACATTCGCTCTGCCGGATAACTTGAATATGTGATCATGAGCTGTAATATCTCTGCAAAGCTCCTTGATT